TCTCTTTCTCTCTCTCTCTCATTCTTTCTTCCTTCCATCCCTCCCTATTTTTTTTCAGCATCTCTAGGCCTCATATTGTCTAGGCTAATATTCTACAACTTGAGCAACGTCCTTCAAAGAGCTGTCCTACCATTCACTGGGACATTGCTCTATTCCTCCTGATTCTTTTTTGTTTTCATTATATTCACCACTCTGTGACATATGTCAGTCATTCATTTCTTCACTCATCTGTTCACTATCTGGAAATTAAGCTGCCTAAGAATAGGAACTTTGTCTACCTTGCACCTCACCAGGTCCACAGGCATGAAGGAAGGACAGCTATAGAGGGTGAGGAGGGTCTCCCCAGCAGAGGAAACGCAGGATGGAGAGGGCTGTGGGGAGGAGATCAGGATGAGGCCAGTCCATGTGCGATCACATGTGAGCCAGAGGATAGGGTTGGGAGCTGAGTTTGCAAGCTGAGGATAGGAGTCACAGCATGAGGCTGAGAAGCCAGGCCTGGGTTTTGTGCCAAGAGCAATGGTAAATCATCAATGGAAACCATTGTGGGTGGAAGAGCTGCCAGTTTTGTACCCAGTCTCCAGACCCTGTCACTCACTGGTTCCTCTACTCAGCAGCCTGTTATTTTCCTCTAGGTTCACCATTACACATGCAGCCGGGCCCAAGGTCCTGCTGCAGATCCCCAAAGATCTGAGAGAGGGGGTGGGAGTGTTTAGGAGCAGATGTGACAGAGCCACCTCATTCTTTACTACTAGCTCTCTCTCTCTTACCCCCCCCCCCCCCACCCTTTCTGAAGAGAACTGTCTTTTACCCTAAAGTGGGCCTTGTGGGTTGTAATTCAGATTGCTACTCCATCATGCTTAGGAGCTGAGAGTCTTTCCATTGAGATCAGGGAATAGAGACTCAGGGGTGTCTTATGGAAGATGGTAGATTTTAGTACTTTGTGACAAGAATGGCCAGAACAACAACAGGATGGAAAGAAGAGGCTAAAGGCTTACACACCTCTTTTTTAACTGTTGTTTTTGTTTTCAGTACTGTGGATTAAAATCAGGAATTCAGCGCCTTGCACATGCTAGGCAAGTGCTCTATTATTTGAACCAAAGCCCCAGTCCTTTCTTCTTTTAATTTATTTTCAGATGGGATCATATGGCAACTTCCCCTGGGTTGGCCTTCATCTGTGATCCTCCTGCCTCCACTTCCCAAGGAGCTTGGATTATAGGTGTATCTCACCATGCTTGGCCCTTTCATAACTCTTTTTAGCTCAGATTAATTAATTCATTAATTATTTCATTCATTCATACTGATGAATATGTATAGGGTACCTGTATATGGAGTATTTATGTGTCAGAAACTTTTCTAGTAGGCTGTAATAGACATACAAGTGAACAAAAAGGACTAAAATGATCAACACTTGTAGTCTCATGGGGCTTACATTCTAACTGTGGATGGCACACAAAAGGTAATAAACATATACCAGTTGCCTAAAAAGAGACTAAGCACTACAAATAAAAATAGAGATAAATGAGAGCATGGCAATTGCTGGGTCTGAGTGGAGAGTGGGCTGGAATTTTCTCTGAGGAGCTCAGGGAGGCCCCCTAAAAGCAAAGCCTTAAAAGAGAATCATCTTTGTGGCTTTTTGCAAAGAATGTCAGACCTAGGGAACAATCACTTAGAGAAAGCCTAGGGCCTATCTGTGTCCAGACATTCACATCCCTGGTTCCCCCACTCTGCAACATGGATGGGGAGCGGGGATGATGGAGTCTAATGTCTCCCAGAGCACAGAGAGCCTTCTGGGTCTTGGTAAGTTCTTTGGTTATTGCAAGTATCTGACCAGAGGAAAAGACATGATCTAACTAAAACTTGAAAAGACTGACATTTGCATAAAAAAGCCTAGAAAGAAAAGGGTAAGAACAGTGGGTATGGTTAAGGGGCTGTTACAAACACATAGGCTTTGTCAGAGGTGGCAGCCTTGTTGGCTAACAAGTAGTCATATTCTGGAAACATTTTTAGAATTATTAGATTTTCTCTCAACACACTGTATATAGGCAAAGGATAAAGGCAAGAGTCAAAGATGGCTGGCTGGATTTGAGCTTGAATTATGTGGCTACTATCATCTGGGATGTGATGAGGACAGGAACAAAATGTTGGAGAAGAAGATGTAGAGTTTGGCCACATTAAAGCAAAGATCTGTGAAACACACAGGTAGAGCTGGCAGGGAGGGAGGCAATTGGTAATGTAAGGTGGGACTCAAAAAGAGAACACAAGGAATTAGAGAGCACCAGATAATATTTAAAGTCATGGAACTCATGGTTTTGTTAAAGAACGAGTATAAGATGAAGTGATAGAGAGATGAGGAGAAGAAGAGACCAGAAAAGGAGACAGGGAAACAGTGGCCAAAGAGGTAAGAGAGAATTCTTGTCCAACAACAACTTGAAGAAAGCATCCAAGTTAGTATCCATGTGTCTTTCCAAGCTTGGATGCTAACAGGTGTAGGACTTTGCTCCTTGCACTTTTTGAATGTCTACTTGGAGTAATTTCACCAAGATTCCAATGTTGGCTCATTCTTCGACAGGCTGACTCTAAGGTTAGAGAACTGCTGCCTGCCACCTGTTACAAGAAAAGTCTTACATAGCCATGTCATTCCCATTTGTTTACGTATTGGTTCCCATAGCTTGATGCCACAAGAGCAGAGCTGAACAGCTGCAACCTAGGCCATGTGGTCCACAAATCCTATTTATAGACAGTTTCTTGTCACTAGGACTAATGCAATGCTGCTTAAGATATACTTAGTACCATTTAAGAAACAAAGAAGGCTATTTAATTTGAAACAGTACGTTTACTAACTAAAAATGTTATCAGGAATTCAGGGCCTTGCGTGTAGTGGCTGGGTGCCGGTGGCTCATGCCTATAATCTTAGCTACTCAGGAAGCTGAGATTTCAGGATCACAGTTCAAAGCCATCCCAGGCAGGAAAGGGCATGAGACTCTTGCCTCCAATAAACCACAAGAAAACCAGAGGTGGTGATGTGGCTCAAAGTAGTAGAGTGCTAGCTTTGAGCATAAAGAGCTCAGGGATAGCATCTAGGCCCTGAGCTTAAGCCTCATGACTGACCAAAAAAAGCATTAGTCAGGACAAGTTAAAAATCATGGCGGTGATGTTAGAATGTTACAGCCTCATTCAAATCTAGTACCTCAGTCTATGACTATATTTGGAGATCAGCTCTTTTTTTTTTAGGGCTATAAGGCTATTCACCAGGGCCTAGTCTAATCTGACTAGTGTTTTTACAAAAGAGGAAGCTAGAACATATGGGTGGAGAAGAGAGACAGGCATGCACAGACGGCAGACCGTGTATGTGACAGCACAGGAAGAAGATGGACATCTCTGAACCAAGGAGACAGGCTCCAAAGAAACCTAGTCTACTGATACCTTAATCTTGAACTTCTAAGTGTCCCAGTCTGTGTTAGTTACACCATAGCCCTAATAGATGATTTGATACATCACTGGAGTTTGTCAAACACAAAGACCTTGGCGTTCTCCCAAGGATCCATTCCAACAAGGAAAGTTGCTTCTCCTCAGCTCCCAGGGCTTTGGAAGTGGACAAAGAGTATGTGTGAGTGTGTGTGTATGGTGGGGAGCGGGGCAGGGGGGGGAGCGGCATTGGCAACCCCATTAAGAAAAAGAAGGAATGCAGACAGCAGGAAAGCCTCATTCTCTGCCACTGATTCCATCTCAGACACCCTTGCTCCCCAGGCAAAATGGTTCACACTTACCCCACACTGGGACATTCCCAAGCTCTGGTGGCTTCCACAAGAGCACCACAATGGATCCTAGTGTGGTTGAAGCTGGGCAACCAGGAAGCCCCACACCAAAGAGAAGATGTCATCTAGCTCTCAGGGAGAGTGGCGGGGCTGTGGGATGCCGGGGCATAATGCACAAGCCCTGTGGGTGGCATAATGTGGAATTCATCTCCCTCACTCCAAGGAGCAGGGGACAGGCCGAACAATCCAGACTCTGTCAGTAAGGTCCTCTGGAGAGTTCAGGCCACGCTAATGAAGACGAAGAAGAGAGGGAAACACTGCTCATGGCTGCGGCCTCTGCCACTCAGAGCTGACACATCCATATTCATGAGCTGGACAGACAGCTCTCGGGATGACTCATCCAATGCAGAGACGATAGGGGGGAAGTATAGTAATGCCGATCCACACTGGATGGGGTGGGGAATGTAATTCACTGCTGGTTGTGAATTAAGGGGCTCCAGGAAATACCCTGAACTCTATAGGATTCCCCAGGGAACGTCTCCTCCCTTGCCTGCTGCTAACATAGGATTTCTGCTTTATACTTGGGACCCCAGAAGAACTTCTTTCTTAGCTCTCTGTTGAGTTTCCAAATCAAGTCTAATATTGTTACTTCCTATTTAATACCAGCCAATAGTAAACCCCTACATCCTGTCTGTTCTTGTATTGGCTTCATAGAATCTGCTGGAGGTTCCACAAAGCGTTGTAGGTACACATGAAGGCTTAGAGCCCATGCTGTCCTGTGTCATCCTACTACACAGCTTCTGCTCCCTAATTCTTTATGCACTTGGCTATTTTATAATGCTCCCTTAATTAGGGTCCTTTGCCAATCCATCTTTGCTCCTGTGTCTAGATAGATGACTTTGGTAGGATATGATTTATTAGGTAGGGAATCTGGACCAAGAACTTGGGCATTGCATACCATGTTTCTCCAAAAGAGAATAAATGTTGGCCCTAAACCTATTCACACCATCATTTTGAAGTTAGTAGATTTGTCCTAGACTCATGGATATTTTGATATTTCAAATGTTTCATTCCCTGTTATAGCACACCCAGCCTCAGTCCCCAGGCAGCAGAACTGAAAGGAAACACGCTGAGCCAAATAAATCAAATCACCTCTCTGCAGCTGGCCTCCTGTAGGTTTCTACAGAGCCACAGGCTAGTATTTAGTTGCAAGACAAATGTCTAGCCGAGTCCAAAGAGCCTTACCTGCCTTTCTGACATGATGTAGAGTTGCTCGTGATCCTTGGAGAAGGCCATATCCCTGAGAACAGGACCAGGATCTACTACCTGCACAGTCTCGTACTGGAGGGCGTTGCCTCTAGGCCCATCCACTCGGATCTGCAGAGAAAAGGAAGAGAAAGGAAAACAGATATGAGTCCAGGTCCTACGCTACCCATACTCCAACTTGATCCCAGAGATTCTCCTAACAGCTAAGGCAGGGGTAAGTGAACTCTGTCCCCATAAAGCTCAGAGAACAAGGCCAAGAGCAGTGGGGATACAAGCCCACCCTGGCCTCTGGATGGGAATACCACAGAGTAGGGGAGGAGACAGACCAAACTAGGTTCCAGCAGGAATCTAGTCTCAGTCTCTAAGGTTCCTGATGCCTTGGGCTAAGTCTTTGAGGTGTTGTTGGTCTTTGGAGAAGAAGGTGGGGCTAGTATTGAGCAAAGCAATATGGGATATGAGGATTGGGAGAATTGAGACTATCTCAGATCAGAATGTCATCCCACATCAGAAAAGCAATGTTATTTACCATATTTGTTAGCAGAAAATAATTTTGGTGTAAGGATGTGGGCTAATTCTCTGAAATTGTTACTGTGAGATCATCGGTATCCTTTTGCCATTGAAACCACTGGATTGTCCTTTAGGCTTTGGGATAAATATTAGGTCCTTAAGGTTCTTTTCCTCCAGGGAAAAGGTGTGGACAGGACAGGAAAATGTGGCTCAAGCATGAGTCATCCTCAACCTTCCAAGAATACTTAGCAGAATAAATTGTCCCTGGGCCACTCATGAGTCCTTCTTAGAACTGCTTATAGAGAGACAACAGGAAGAACTTTTGCCCATACTCTCCATCATCACTGAGAATAAATCTAGAAAAGACACAGGCTTCTGGCCTGGCTCCTGTGTGTCCATCCAGGTATCTAGAATCATCCTGAGTCTGAGTGCACAGATCCAACACAAGCACAATCAATGCTATTAATAAACACTATACACATAAATCAGGAATAACTATTACTGAGAATAGAATATTTGTAATAAATGACAGGGGTTAAATGTCATTAATGCAAGACTTTGCAAAGCACTTGCAATTTTAGGGATTTCAATAACGAAACAAAAGAAAACATTACATTCCAAATATTCCCTCTGAATATCCCCTTTTATTTTAATTTTTAATATCTAATTTTCAACCTCCGATGAAATCCAGGTGAATAGATAACTGTTTAAAAAGGAACCAAGGTTTAGAAAAGACTTGTCTGATGACAGCTGATCATATTGAGACACTAGGAAGTCTGATGGATCCTGATTCTACCCAGTCCACTGAACACTGATGTCAGGTTACTTTATGTTTGATTTTAGGTTTGTTTGTTGTTGTTGTTTTCCTTTTAAGCATTACCCATAAGCTTCCCAGGTCTCAGTGCAGGGAGACAGCTTTACATATAATATGATTCTCTCAGAGTTATGGACTAGTTTGTCATGGCGAATGGTCCCTCAGCACACATTCCTCCCTCTGTCACTTTTCCTTGGAACTAAACTTACTCTCATGGTGCTGCCCTTCATGCTATAATGATTGAGAAGTAACAGGCTCAAGCTCATTAATGGGCTCCGGCAGAGCAAAGAAGGGATGAATGACAGAGAGAAGATCTCTCCTCATCCTCAGTAGAGTCAAAGAATCAAAGATCTGTTGGCAGCTTTCTGTGACAAGAAGAGATGGAACCAGGGAAGGTGAAGCATAGAGATGCAAAACCAATAGTCCTTGGTGACATCCCCAAGCCACTTAATCCAAATAACAGCAGAGCTGGCCTATTGTCAGGAAATTCCAGATCCTTAAGACATTTTCTTCTTGTTATAGTAATACAAAGGCTTACTTGCACATCAAAAATTCCCAACTGTATTGATAATGGATCTACTGATAATGGATAAAGAAAATGAGACTAGATACATAAAGCAGTGGGCATGAGTGCTAAAGTCTAGGGACAGAACTGAAACCCAGGCTTGATTTAGAAGTCTGCTTGTATGAAAGGTCTTGTTCCTGGGGATGGAAGGAGGAGGGAATCTATGATTCCAGAGACTTCCTTTAGTTATTCCTGACATTGATGCTCCAAAAACTGTGCTTGATGCCAGGCACTGGTGGCTCACACATGTAATCCTAGCCACTCAGGAGGCTGAGATCTAAGGATTACAGTTTAAAGCGAGTCCAAACAGGGAAGTCTATTAGACTCTTATTTCCCATTAACCACCACAATCCAGAAGTGGAAGCTGTGGCTCAAGTAATAGAGTTGCTAGCCTTGAACAAAAATGTCCAGGGACATAGTTCAAATCCCAGGACTGGCACATACAAAAAAAGACTACTACTACAACAACAAAAACTTTGCTTGACCAATATTTATATTCAAAATGAAGTTGAGTCCTCTTTGCTTAACACAAAGCTCACGAAAATAGTAACAACAAAAACATGTATAGGAATTAAAGGGAAAGATGTTTAACCCTACCTCAAAATACCTCAGGCTCTTAGAGTTCTTTTTCTACAGCTGCCCACAAGCCACATGATGCTGCTATTGGCCAGGTCTTCTTTTAATCTGAATGAAATTGGAGTTCATGTGAATCCAATTGGGATTACCAACCAAGGTGACCATATAGCAACGGCCTTGGCCCTGGCCCAGCTAGGCTTCATCCCTAGCTAGGAAGTAACCTGGAGTGGGAGCAGAGTGCTTGTGAGAGCCCTGGCTGGTCTCCAGGTCCCTCAGGCATCCTGTAGGCATGGACCCCTGAAGGAAACGCTGGTGGAACTAACACCCATTCAGTGCCCTTGATCAGACTCCCCACCCCCAGGAGAAATTAGATTCAGTGCTTAAGCAGTACCTTTATCACTTGTCTCCAACTTTCCTGTTCCTTAAGAGGGGTGATGTTCTTAATGTAATAGACCTCAGAGAAAAATGGGCAACAGGGGGGCAAAGTCAGAGGCCTAGATAAGGGAGGGATCAGGAGAGACTAAAGGTACAAATTTTCACAGGCTTGGCTGTGTCCCCCACCTTCCCCACGCTGTCAGAATGTGTATGAGCAACTGGAAACGTGTTTCTCCCCCTCCTCTTACTAATCCACAGTGTTCCATAATACAGAATGGAAAGTGGTCACGTTCCCTATCTCTTAAGAGATTTTCACACTCACACTCATGCACAAAAGGAGTTTATGTGGGAATTTGCTGAATGTTTGATGGGAAGTCCTAAAATGTAGGTAGAATGGACTGGCTCTTGGGTTTTAACATAAACAAAGAACAATAAGAACAGTCCTTTATTTTCATATTTACTTATTCTTACTTTTGTCCTCCTAGGGATTGAACCCCAGGACTTTGAGCATGGTAGGCAAGCCCTCTACTACTCAACTAGTTGAACAACATCCATAGCACTTTCCTTTTTTTCCTTTTAGGCCCTTTCATTTTTATTTTGCTTTTGAAATAAGTAAGGCCTTGCTCAGTTTTCCTGGGCTGGTCTCAACTATATGATCCGCCTGCCTCCACCTCCTGATTAGCTGGGATGATAGCCACCACCAGCAGCTAAAAAGTTTTTTTTATTGAATGGCTACTACATGTCAGATGCTGACATACCACAACACCATAAGTGTTAATATTTTCTCATTTTCTGGTGAGGCATAAGAGCTTAAATAATTTGTTCAAGGTCACACATGTAGTGGAGATCAGAACCTGGATGCATACCAAAGTCTCACTGATTGCAAAGTCCTTACATCTGTGAGCTCTCCCACTAAGCCAAACTCTGACACTTCACTGGATATGTAAATTTGCTTCCTCTCAAGGAGTCAAAGTAGTTGTTGCTAAACAACATCACCCTGGGGGTGGAGGTAGAACCCTGCCTTTATCTCCTATAGATCTTCAGGGAAAGGAATATGCATATGAATGAAGACAAGGTTGTAAATTTTCCAAATAATGAGCCCTTATATTTTTGTTTTATACCTTGCAAAGCATTTCTAAAGAACACTATCTCATCTGATGGCTGTAAAATTTTTATGATGTTGACTGTCAGCATAATCATTCTCATTTTACTGATGAAGCAACAGAGAGAGGAGTTGTTCTGAGCCTTTCCGGTAGTTCGGTGGCAAACCGATGTGAGGTTGGACTTGAATCCAAGTCTTCTGATGGCTGGCTCCATATTTGCCTATTAGCTATTTGGATTTTTGCAAAAGCCTTTGACAAGGTTCCATGTGAAAAGGTATTTAAAGATAATGAGTCTCTCTGGGACTTTGGGCAGCTTGGCCACGGAAGACCTGACTTAAAGACAGGGAAAGACAGATTTCTTCGTGAAGAAATAGAACTGAGAACTCCCCAAGCACTGGTGTCACCACTAGCCTTATTTAAGAATATATATATAGATATATATCTATATATATATATTTAAAATAAATGGTCCAGGGGAGGAAGCAGGAAAATTTACAGATGATCCTAAGCTTGTGACAGCAAGAAAATCGGCAATGGAGATAAACTACAGTTAAGATGCTCTACCCTCCGTAGGTCTCACAGTGAGGGAGGTGTGATGGGGAAGACAGCCCTGGAGCTGGGGGCTTTTCAGGGCAGAGGTCATGCCTGCTGCTTTCCTGGTAATTCCTAAGATGTGGATGGCACTAAAAAAAGACATTACTGAGAAAACAAAAAATCATATTTTAGCCAGGTGCTGGTAACTTACACCTGTCATCCTAGATACTTAAGAAAGCCATATTGAAGGTTTTGGTTCAGGGCCAGCACAGGCAGGAAAGTTCATGAGATACTTTATTCAATTAATCACCAAACAGCTGGAAATGGAGGTATTGCTCAAGTGGTAGAGTACCATCTCTGAGCAAAATGAAGTTAACAGTCAGCACTTAGTCTCTGAGTTCAAGCCCCAGTGCCAGCACATATTCACACACTCACACACACAAATCACATTCTACTAATGTGACAATGGGCTCTGCACTTCTAGATATGATCAAGGTAGGAGATAGGATCAAGCAAGGGACCTCAATATTACTGTTTTCGACTCCCAATACTCCAGAGCATCCAAGAATGCTAGGCAACATTCCGATGGGATTTCAGAGATAACAGCCCAACTGAGTTTCAAGTTCACTTGAAGGTG